CATCAGTCGAGTCACATAAGTGTGTGCTTGCTTGTCAGTCAATCAATGAATTGATTCCATTCATTCATTCAGTGAACTCCCTGGTTGCTTCGCTTGGGAGACGGCCGTGATCCTGGCCTGACTGGCCACGAGGTGGCCGGCCATGGGTGTCTCACATCACCCATACATGGTCAATATAGCCGGCCACCCTATATAGAAACACCCACCCTCCTCCCCCGTCGGGTCTTCCGGCGGAAGAGCCGACGGGAGAGGTGTACGTATACCCTTTACAGGGTACACATTCGTAGAAATACATGTATACGTACACCTCTCCCGTCGGCTCTTCCGCCGGAAGACCCGACGGGGGAGGAGGGTGGGTGTTTCTATATAGGGTGGCCGGCTATATTGACCATGTATGGGTGATGTGAGACACCCATGGCCGGCCACCTCGTGGCCAGTCAGGCCAGGATCACGGCCGTCTCCCAAGCGAAGCAACCGAGGGAGTTCACTGAATGAATGAATGGAATCAATTCATTGATTGACTGACAAGCAAGCACACACTTATGTGACTCGACTGATGGAATGGCGAAGTGTTTTGTGCTCGCGTCTTTTTTTTTCGCAGAAGCACTTCACTGCAAATGCGTCGCATTCGGATCAAGAGGGCCTGTAAGGCCTCTCAAGACTTGCCTGACGCTGGCAAGAAGTCTGTTTTATCATGAGAAAAAGTCCGTTTCACATGATAACGAATTCAAGCTAAGACGCTGCAGCACGTCACACAAAAAGACAAATCAGTCCCTCTTTCTGTCACCGCTTACCTTTTGCACGTGAAGAATGTGTGACCGTGGGGCTCATCGATTTCCTTTTCTCTGTATAGGTCAGGTTCGTCCCCTGGCCTGTCTGTGCGTCTGTGCGGCGTGTTGTGTTTTGTGTGTGAGTTTAAGTGACACATCCCCCCCTCCCCCCCCACACACACACACACTCACAGACCTGGACCGAATGTATAATGCATCCACGGTTGGTGGCGTGGCTGGACAAACGTGTGAGGTGACCGGTCGAATCAATGGATCGAAATCTCTCGTGGCGCTTACCCACTAGCTAAAGGGTGGGTGGTTGTATGTGGAGCGCGCGGTAGACGCTGTGCATGCGTGTGTGCATGCGTGTGTGTATGTGCGTGTGTATGTGCGTGTGTTTGTGTGTGTGTACGTGTGTGTATGTATGTTTGTGTGTATAATAATTTGTGCGCATGGCATGGCCCACGAAACACAGCACAGCGTGGTGCGATGCTAACTAACATGGTGTGCAACGAGTTGAGTGTAGATAGAAATATGATCAGACGCATCTGGTCCCCTCCATGGTCGCCTCAATTACGTCAAACGTCAAAAAGTTACTGCACACGGCAGATCTCGTGCTGCAGGTATAGCAGAGGGACAAGCAGACAGTCGGCGAGGTGTCTGTGGGTCTCTGAGTCAGGAGGCCATGCAGATACGTATACGTACGTATGTTAGTGTGTACATGATAAGATCGGATCTTTTGAGTGCCTCAACGTACCAGAAATGATTGGGCGAGGGGTCAGAAGTCGTCCAAGAGTGTCGGTGAGCCTCGGAACGACGTGCACACGCCTGATCAGGACCGACTTCTGTACAAGGGTGGAGAGGAGCGGTCCGTTCTCAGGAGTGTGTGGGTAATTCAGGAAGCTGTGAGACAGGGATTACTCAGTGCATCCGTTTGCATCGATTCTGCTTCACAGAACCACCTGCGGCACTCTGCTTTGCTTTCATTCGGGCGAGCTTAGATGGGCGCGAAACGTTTCCTTGCCTAAAAGCCCAAGTCTCTCCCGAAACAGTGCAAAACAGTGACTTATCTTCCTGTGGTGACGCCATTCAACGGTCCTTGGATACGGACTCCGCCCCAAGCTTTGTTGAACCACTCCCTGGCCTTCACGTCGTTTGACGAGCGGCCATGCAGCCGGGAACTCACACTCCGATGCACACGCATCACCAGGCCATGGTGCTCCCCACCAGCAGCGACACGACAACCGACATGACACAGACTGTTGAGAACGGGCCGCTTCACGACTGTCTCCTCGAAGAGATGATGAAAGAGAACCGCCTAAAGATCGTGGGGGCTATGTGTGAGGTTGACCTCGCCCGCGCTCATCATGGCGTCTTTGACAGGCGAAACGATCGTTTGAGGGGGGGCAAGTACGAGGGCATGATACGAAACGGGGTGAGCATGGACCAAAGGGGCTGGATGAAACTCATCCATCGCCAGGAGGTCCATCTTGCCTATGTGGACACAGGTGCCTGAGGGCTGGGGCGTTCTGCGTATAACCAGCTCTTCCAATCGACACGTCTCCCTCAACGCCAAACGATACGAAGGAGGTGAGGGAGCCAGCAACGATAGAAAACAAACCTATACACTGCTTGGACGCCCATTTCTGGCCTTCAGAGTGGCGTGGGGGCTTGTTTCATGGCGATGGCATCAAATATTATGGAGGAGCTGGAGACCTAATCAACAAGAAAGAGTACGATGGCCAGTGGAACCATGGAAGGCGCAATGGGGAAGGGACCGCCTATTTTCCGAACGGCAACCCTCACTTCGAGTGCCACTGGAAGGACGACCAGATCGATGACAGCAAGGAGGTCATTGAATACTACGACAACGTGAGTGAGTCCACATGGGCGAATGAAGAGCATTATACTGAGAAACGTGAAAAAGAGCGTCTCCATACCGTCCTGTCTGTCTTTGTGCCATTCACATGCAGGGCAGCGTCAGGTATGAGGGCCAGATGCTTTTCGGACTCAGATGTGGATACGGCACCGAATACCAGAGAAGTATGGTGCACGTGTCTATGGCACGAACAGATACACAAGCAAACGGCCCATCTGTGTCTGTGCGCTCCACATGTGGGTCTGCAGGCCATTATCGCGACCACCATTCAGCTCCAAGCGGCCGCACTGTTGCCCCTCCGAAGGTCTACGTGGGGTGCTGGGCCAGGGACAAGAGGGAGGGCTCGGGAACACTGTTCTACGAGGACGGATGCACTCCCTGGTGGGCAATCAGGCAAAGTACCTGACATCTTGTTCACAAGCAATGCAGGTTCCCGTCTCACCCGTATCTTTTCATGCAGGTATGAGGGAAGGTGGATGGACGGCGAGCGTCATGGCCATGGGGTCGAGTACGATGGAAGGACAAGCTGCAAGAAGTTCGAGGGCGAGTGGAGCAAGGGAATGCGCAACGGCCCCGGCACCACCTATTACCCCAACGGCAAGCCTCATTTGAAGTGCCACTGGAAGGACGACCAAATCGACGAGAGTGAAGAGGTCATCGAACACTTCTATAACGTGAGTGAGGCTCAGGGAACAGTGGGGCCATCAACACTTCAGATGCCGGTGTTTTGGATACAGGGCAAGGTCAAATACCAGGGAGGCTTTCTCGACGGACTGAAGCATGGACAAGGCATTGAATACAGTGAGTTGCTTCGTAGAGACACACAGATACATGAGAGGGGGACCGAGACACAGTCTGACACATACCATTCTGTGCTTTCATGTGTGTGTCTCCAGATGACGACCGCTGCCGTCTCTCACGTATATAGCACGAACATACACAAGCAAACGGCCCATCTGTGTCTGTGCGCTCCACATGTGGGTCTGCAGGCGACTATCGCGACCACCATTCAGCTCTGAGAGGCCTCACTCTTGCGCACCACAAGGCTTACGAGGGGGGATGGTCCAAGGGCAAGAAAGAGGGTCAGGGCACAGTGTTCTACGGGGACGGATGCACTGTCTGGTGAGCAGCGAGATCACACCATCCTGCCGCCGCCGACACACATGTCTTCATCTCTCTCTGCTGTGCCCGCAGGTACCAGGGAGAGTGGGCGGACGGCCAACGTCATGGCTACGGCATCGAGTACGACCACGAGACGGGCGGCAAGAAGTTCGAGGGCGAATGGCAGGCCGGCAGCTTTGTAAGTGGCACATTCTGGCGCTACGGCAACGAGGGCAAGCTGGTGGGCCAGGGGCAGTGGAAGAACGGCATGAGACACGGTCAGTTTGCATGATACGGGGAGGGATCATTAGAAGGCTGCCCAAAGGCTAGCACAATCTGTGCTTTCCTTATCATGTCTCTGTCTGGACTCTGCAGCCGACTATCGCCTCCCCACTTTCAGCAGACACAATGCCCATCCCTCGACCGGCCCCTTCACCGCACCAACATTCACTCGCACACAGAGCACACAGACAGCCTCACGCGTACCAGCACCAGCGGCAGCAGCCGGACAGGGGAAGAAGAGAAAGCGGGATGTCGTCGAGATGGAGGACCAGGAGCACCAGGAGAGGGAGGAAGCAGCCATGGAGACTGGTGACTCTCCCAACAGCCGTCGCATTCTGCCGCGCCCTGATGCTGGTATGGTGCACACACACGGACACGCACACAACAGCGGCCCCAAGGGTGTGTATTCTTGGCAATGCGTGGCTGCAGGTGAAGGCATTTCTGCCCTGACGTCACGAAGGATCCTCAGAGGCGAAAAACTCTACCAGGTCCGTCCGTTGCTCACACACACAATCCCATGCACACGCCATGTGCAATTATGCGTTGTGTCAGTTCGCCAAGTCCCTGCTGGACGAGCAGCGCGACATAGACAGGAGGCGGCTGGAGGTGCGTACACACATCACGTGGCTCAATCAGCCACCGACCCCTACACCCACACACGTGCCCACGCCTTTGTGTTTGTTTGTGTCTGTGCCTGTGTCTGTGTGCTTGTGTTACAGCAAATGGCCGACCCGCAGCGCAAGCGCAAGCGCAAGCGCCAGACCAAGGAACGCGTAGGCCATGTGCACTCACCGACATGCAGAAAAAACAGATAGACAGACCCACCGCTCGCACACACCTGTGTGACCCAGTCCATCCATCCATCCATCTATCCATCTATCAGGAGGACGATCAAGGCGAGAAGCCGGGTGCTATGCGTCGTGGGGTGCACTGGCATCCCCGCGGGTATGGTACACACACACAGGCACAGCCAACAGAGAGACATCCATGTGCACACAAAGCCATGCGTGCGCGCGTGCGTGGGGTGGGTGTTTGCGCATTCATCCGCAGGTATTACCATCTGGTTGTGGGCACCATCGACCCTGCTCAAATGCCCAGCCACCAAGTCACACAGATGCTCCAGGTACTGCGCGCGCCTCCAGGAGTGCCTGCGCTGGGCGTGTACCGGGCACTCACTGGTTTTCTTGCAGGATGCCCGAAAGGAGGGCAACAACGTGGGGCGCCAGTCGGGCACCTACCAGATCATCAAGCCCTTCAGGTACATGAGGCGATCAATCAACGAAGGAATGGGGCGACACATGCACGGAGACACACGGCGAGCATGGCTGCACCAAGTGTGTGTGTGTGTGTGTGTGTCCGCAGGCCGTCAGAGCTGACGGTGGACGGCCTGCGTCAGGCCTTCAGAGAGGCGGTAAAGGAGAAGTGAGATTGCATACATTCGTGCATCCATTCATGAATCGTGTGTGTGTGTGTGTGTGGTATGGTGTGTGGTGTGCAGATTGGTGTGCGTGACCAGCAGCGTCGCACGGAGTGGGACGATTGGGAGGACTCCACCGAAGTCTCTTTGCTGCCGGCCCCTCGGCCCCCGTTGAGCTTCGCCGACAAGGCTTAAGAAGGAGCCAGAGAGAGGTGGAAGGCCGTGAATGTCCTCACATAGGACGTTCAGCTGGCGTCAAGTGTAAGTGCTATGCTGGATTTGAATGCTGTGTCTATTGTGGTTCGTGTCTCACGTCTGTGTCGTGTGCCACATACATGTGTTTATGTTTGTTGTCAATGAGCGTTGTCATTTGCACACGCTCATTTGCTTTGTATGGGTGTGTTTGCCTGCTACGAATCCTGGTGTGTTGGTCTGAGGCTTAGACGAACAATAGACGAACGTCGTCTGACTCGCCCGTTCTGTGTTTCTCTCAAACCAGACTGTGGCAATAAAGCTATGCACTGATTTGACAGCTCACACATCGGGCTACACATGCAGCGTCTAGTGTCTGTCTGTCTGTCAGTCAGTCAGTCATTCCGTGCTCAAACATGTGCCATACTTGATGATTGGCCTGCCGTTGACCATGACGTGGAGGCCACGCAGGCCTCGCAGACGCAGCAGCGATGTCGACGTCAGATGGTGGAAACTGTCACTGTCTACATCCTCCGACACTGCACAAACAAATACACAAACAAATGCACAAACAAATACAAACAAATCACGTCGAAAACACTCTTCCCTGGCTCACCGGTCAGGCTGAGCTCGAGCTTCTCGATCGGCGGCAAATCAGTCGCCCTGTCGCCCCACATGATGCCCTCGACGCCCACATCCTCCACCACCAACACCGCTCCCTTGAGTTCTCTGTCGCCGATAGACTAAATCACCTGCAGCGCCTGGCCGACCGTCACGCCACGACATATCAGCTCGGTGCATTTGAGTCTGCTGGCCAGCTGGCAGGCGATCCTGCAGCCGAGGCGGCTGGACAGCGTCAGCTTGTAATCAGAGTGAGGGAAGCAATCGCGCGACAGATTTGCCTGAACGCAGGAAAATCGGCCCACGAGAAATGCCAGACAGTTCTGTTTTCTTTGATGTTGCTTGCCACTTACGAGAATGGATGCATTGCACCCCTGTGCATCGGCGGGCGGCGCCAGCCCATCAGCATTGCACACCGTCACACGGCAAGCGCACTGGAACAATAGCCCGGCAACGAAGTCTCGGATTGCCGCGTCATACGCGGGCGGCTGGACGAGGTCCGCCGCAGCAATGGTCCAGTCGAGGTCGGTGGCGAGGCAAGCAGTCTTCTGCACGCACTCCATGACGAAAGGGGTGGCGTACGAGGAATGGCGCTGCATGGACGGCAGGAGGGACCCCAGATCGATGATCAGTCCGCGAGCATTGCTGAAGTGAGTGATCTGGACCGACACGGCTGGTCGGCAGAGGGCAGAGTGGAAGCTCTCCAAAGCAGAGAACACAGGCAGCCATGTGGCATCGACTATGCTGTCTCCCGGAAGGCCGATTGAGAGGTGCTCCAGCGACGCCACACACCCGTAACGCGCCAAGACGTCCTGAAAAGAACCAAGGAAGGACAGACAGACAAATGCACACCGCATGTGATGTGAAACGGATGCCCACCCTGAGCTCCAGGATCGCATCGCGGCTTTCCAGAGGACCTCTTTCGAGCCTCACAGTGCCGATGGACGCCAGGCGCGAGAACTTCAAGAGCCTTCCACTCTGGCCGCCCTCGCCCGGCCAGTGCGCTGCCAACGCCCTGAACATCGCCGTCTTCTCCTCAGGAGTTGCCTCGCCAGGCAGATGCGTCGGCGTACGAGCAGAGTGCCGATAGAACTTCATCACAGCGGTCTGCAGAAGACGCAAGTCGTCCGATGCGAGAGTGAGGGATTCGAGGGCTGGCAGCTGGAAGCAGTCACCCAGGCCGATGGCGCCAGGCGGCAGGTTGATGATGCTGGTGAGAGCATGAAGGCAGGGAAGGGGCCGCGATGGGCCAGTGGGCCGGCCGGACGGAGGGACGTACCCGTCGATGCTGGTGAGAATGGTGGTAAGGCTCCCGTGCGGTAGCAGCTCTGCCGACGGAGGGCCTCGGCCTGACCCCGTCGCCTCACGCCGCATGGTGTCGATCATCTTTTTCCGCCCCTCCACATGCCCTGCCAATAGGCACTTGAGGGACTCATAGAAGGTCGGGGGTGGGGCGACGGTAGACGGGCTGTCACTGACAGATCTATGCCGGACGGTGAGTGTCGTCAGATTGGTTAGGCGGCTCCCCCACTCTCTGGTGGCCGCCAGGTCTGCGAGGATGAGCATATCTTCCTTGAACTCTGACGTGTCGATGAGGACATGGCGGTAGTGGGGAGTCACCGCCTCCACGAGCTCCTCGGGTAGGGCGCGGACGCACCACATGGGAAGGTATGGGAATATGCCACACAGATGGGGGACGTCCTGCATGAATGCCATGGACACACAATGACGGACGATACTAGCGTCTCTCTGCCTGCCTCCCTGCGTACTGTACCTCTGTTTTGAATTCTCCGAATTGTCTGTCTGGGTCGCTGTCGAGGGAAGAGCCGGAGCTGAGGTCACTGTCCCCATCGTCGTCGCTCGCACACCACTCGGAGTCGTCTTCGTCGCTCTCACTCCATTCGTCATCTGAATGTCGACACACATCCACACCCCCACCCAGATGTTTTGCCCTCATCCACTCTGGTGCTCGCTGCGTTTCCCGTACGTACCGTCAGCATCGCCTAGTGCCGTGGCTGTTGGAGTGGACATGGCGACCGCGGCGTTCTCATCCCCCTCTCCGTCACCATTCTCGTCTCTCCCCTCCTCGCCGCTGCTGTCGCCCTCGACAGACTCGCTCTCTGACTCACACTCGCTATCGCTGTCGGCCTGTATGAGCAGAGAGCGATAGGTAGGAAAGGCCTTCATGTGTGTGGACCTCTACTCGCCCAGCGCACCTCTAAGTCTGCACCCATGCGGGCGGCCAGCGGTTCGAAAGTGTCCTTGATCTCCTGAGGGCTCATGTCCTGTGGCGGATAAAGGAACCGACAAAGAAGGCAGGATGGATTCGCTGCCTCTCGGTGTGTGTGGACCGTACCTACCCTGATGTGACACGCGTAGGCTGCGTACGTCAGCTGGAGGAGCGATTGCAAGTCCAAGAAATCAGCAGCCTGGTGAATTGCATGCAGCAAGGCATGACCACAACCAGACGATGGATGGATGCCATTGGGTACCACATCGGTCACGTACCTTCATGACCTGATACAGCTCTTGCCGATCGGCTGTGCCTAACACCTCTCGCTCAACCAGCAGCACCTGACATGACACGCCAACCAAGGAAGGAACCGACACACAAACACTCATCCTCACACACACACACACACACACTCACTCATTCCCGGTGTATGTGTGTCATGGTGACTCACTTCTCCGATGTGGTCCGTCGACTGCAGTGGCTGCTTGATAGCTGGTATCTCCCTGCCGCCATAATGGCCGCAGTACTTGTGAAATACCATGTTCAGCAGATGCGCATCGACGTGCAGGGAGATCTGAGTCTGATCTGATGCAGCTGCACAGAGAAAGGTACTCGGCTGCATGTGCCACTTCAAGCGCTTCGTTTCGTTGATTGTGCTCACCCTCCAGGATGCCTTTGACGACGTTTGACCTCCGGGCCGCCTCGAGAGGGATCTCCACCAGCTCGCCGTCTGCCGACTGCACTTTGATCATCACTCCGCCGGACCCAACTATCCTCTGAAGACTTTCTGAACCAGAAGGACGCGGCAAAATGCGCGTGACAGTGCTGTGTGTCTGGTGGTGGTACCTATCCCTGCGATCAGCTCTCCCTTGGCAGCGGTGTTCTTGTTGATCTGCTCAGTGGTGCTGGCGATCTTGCCGTCGATGCTCTCGATGTCCTCCTTGCCGGCCTTGTCCCTCTGGGCGTTGAGGTCGGTGGGCTTGTCGTGCAGTGCAGGCAGCAGCTTCTCGATTACGGCAAGCCGCTTGCGCTTCTCATCCAAAGCAACGGTTACACTTTGCTCTGCCATGGGCAGTTTCACTATGCATGCCTTCCCTTGTCCAAACTCAGGTCCCCTCGCATACAAGCTCGCCTCAAGCTCGCGAAAAGAGAAATGGGGGATGTTCTTTGATTGAGGATAAGCGGCCCCGGAGTACCTATTGTGGGCCAACGAGAGCCGTACAGATGATATCGATCGGTAGCGCCGCGGCCATCTCCAGCGGATGACGCTACTCTGACCAATTGAGGTAAGAATGCTGCCATGAGAGGAGCTGACGAGATGAGCATTAGATCACACACGGCTCTGTGCATGGCTGTCTGCTGTTTGATGCTGCAGGTCATATCGTTCGTGTAGCTGGCAATATTGCTGAGGGATTCTGTTTGGCACACCGAGGAGTCAACCAATCCAGGTATGTACGGCGAGGCAGAGAGGGAAGCTGCATAACAGGAGAGGCAACCGATGCAGTGACTGAGCGGTTTGAATCATACGCTTTGTGTGTGTATCTCTCAGATGTCGGGTACTCGTGATGGAGCTTCTGGAACAGCATCATCATCCGCAGCGTCGGCTGCTGCTGCTCCTGCTGGTAATCCTAGAGCGGCGGCATCACCACTGCACACAAGACATAGCCATCCACCCACACACACCTGTCTGTATGTCTGTGTGTGTGTGTTGATTCAGCTGCCAGCAGCAGTGCATCGTCCCACCAGCACCACCAGCAGCAGCAGGGTAGCCTCGATGCCTCCGAGGTGCCTCAGGTGCTGACGGCCTCTGTCGCCCAATACGTCAGGAGCTATTCCCAGCTGGAGTCGCTCATCGAGGCCCATCCGGCCTTCTTCACACCCGCCCTCCTGCTGCCCATACTCATGCGCCTCTGGCCCATCGTCGTGGCGTCCCTCGGCCTCGGCGTCTTCATCCAGGTGCCGCTCCCACAGCTGGCACACGGCACGGCCGTCGCTATGGCCACCAACATGCTCATGCAGCGGCTCTTCATCCTCGCACATGGCGGCAACTGGCGCAGATGGATACCGCACCTGACGATGATCCGCTGGCTGCAAGAGGGGAGGCCGGTGCATCTCGTCGATGAGCACTTCGGTGTGTTCGGGAGCCCCCAGGAGTTCCTCAGCGAGAGGGAGGCGCCCCGCCAGTGGACAATTCTCAGCCGGATGGTGTATGTTTGTGTCGAGTCGGACGCCACTTGGGTGCTGCTAGGAAGAGGATGCAGTTGGCACCCTCTGATGAGGAACAACGCCATCCGCGTCTTTATCAGTGACCGCTACGTGCAGCCCCGCCTCCTCGACTCGCCTAGCCCCCTCTTCTCCCCCGCCACATTCGAGCCCGACAACCCCCCCACACAGCTGGACGGCTACACATACCGGACGTATGCCTGCATGGTCGCATTCGTCCTCTTCGATTGGCTACGCAACTTCCGGTCCCCACACATGCGATTCACTCTCGCCCGCCGGGACACCTTGGATGCAACCCATCATGTGCACCAGCTGCTAGCGGTGGGTTGCGGGCCGCAGTGGGGCGGTCGCGCTGCGGTGTTCGACAAGAGGCGGGAGGAGGGCGGGGTGAATCACACGCGGCTGGTGGTGTTGGGCTCTGAGGTCCTGGGGGAGGGGCACATAGCGGCCATCGTGGTTGAGCGGGAGGGTAGGCTCAGTGGTGGTGGGCATGAGTACCGCGTTGATGTGTACACGTCAGAGCTACAGCCCCATGACCGCACCCGCTCTGCCATGACGGAGGTGCTGGGGACGGGAGCATAGGTAGGTGAGAGAGGACAGAGCGTAGATGGGGGAGAGAGTGGGTGGATGGGCGTGAGGTGGAGACAACAGACAAGACGATGTGCGTGCGAGAGGCGGGCGAGTACTGTGTGTGTGTGTGTGTGTGAGTGTGCAGACTGGCTTGTCGCACTGATTTGATTGCATGCGTGGATAAACAGACTGGCTTGGCTGGTGCGGGTCGCTGCCGGGGTGAGGTGGATTGTGAATACATGGGTTGCCTGGCCGAATCAATGTCTCGGCTCTGAAACTGACACGCGCAGACAGATGCAATCACACATGTGGATCGTCCGCTGTGTACACAAGACAACTAACAAATACAGTAGCATGCACATCCGCGAATCAATGTCCGAATGTCCCTATGGACGGCATATCGAAGACACAATGCCTTCATCCCTATCTGAGGCCCTCTGCTAGACAACATTCCCTCTCTCTCTCTCTCTATCTTTCGCTGTCAGAGGTACACTTGTTTGGCGTCTGTTATATGCTGTCGGCAGATGGGGCAATGCCGCTCAGCCATGGGGCCGCCCATAATGAAACCAGCACACCTGCCACACAGACACAAGTGATGCTGCATTGTAGGCCACGGAAGGGATAGAAAGACAACACAAAGATGAACGCAGGCATGCATCGCGAGTATGTGTGTGTATGCGTGCTTACACATGGTAGGAGTAAAACGTTCTTGCGGAATGTCATGCAGACAGCGCACTTCATGTTCTCTGCGCCATCCGCCACACTAGCAAGCCTGCAGGGCAAGCAAGGCAATGCATTGCACAAAACAGACACACACAGAATGAATCTCGCCCCCCCGATTGTGTCTCATGCGATCCGCCCATGCTGACCGACCTCCACTGGGCCTCTTGCAGCTGCCGTATCAGCGCCTCCTCCCTCTCCTTGGTCTCCCTCTCCCTCTGCTCCATCTGCCAGCACATCTGGTCCAACACCTGCTCACCCTCCCAGGCACCGACAGCCGAAGACGCGCTGAAAGGAGAAAAAGTGACACCCACACACGTGCAACACACGAACACTCGCTGACGTACGTCGAGACGGTGCGCCCAGGTCGAAAGATGAGGGGATGTGCGGGGGCCTGGGGAGGAGAGGGGCGAGGCGGAGGGGGCGGTGGCAGCATCGGAGGAAATGGCTGCCTGCTGCTACGACTATCACGGCGGCTGCTCGATGCTGCTAGATGCCGATAATCGGCCGTACTTTGACGCGCAGATAGCGGTGTTTGCGGGGCTGGGGGCGGTGGAGGGGGAGGGCGCGCCTGGCACGGCGGGGCCAAGAAGGCGACGACATTTGGGCTATCATCGTCATCACCTGAATGACGCACACCACACTCAGACACACGCACACGTGTACAGTACCCTACCCTCCCTCTCCCCCTCCCTCTGCATGTCCTTGTTTGTTTGTTTGTTTACCTACCAGAGCTACTGCTGCGTCCATCAACACCTTCATCAAAACCGACCTCAGCAGCAGGGGCAATGGGTGAAGGTTCCACAGCGGGCTCCTGCTCCTCCAATGGCAACGCCTCGCCCGTGGTGTCGGCTGTAGGACCTGAGGGATGGTCCGTGGTCGGCCCTCAGGTGCCCCAGTGTTGGTGGTGGTGGTGGTGGTGTTGCCGCCCTCGACCTGTTGGTATGGGCGTCTGCCTCCTGCTGGTGGGTTCCTGCCGCCGCGTCGTGAGGGGGCCACGGGAGTCCAGATTTGCGTCGGTGCCCCCGTGGCTCGAAGCTGTGGTGAAAGCCGCGTAGGGGCCTCAGGGGCAGTCGGCGGACATTTGGGTCGCCAGACGCGCGTGGTCGTCTGTGGTGGTGGCGGTGGTGGTGGTGGTGGCGCTATAGCTTGGCTGGCAGGTCGCCCCGTGAGTGCGGCGGCCGCCGATGGCTGCCGGTTGACTGGTCGCCACACCTGCCGTCTGCCCAGGTGGTGCGGGGGTTGCGGAACGGGAGCCTTGCCTTCGACGATGCGTACGCGCGGTGGCCGTGAGGGAGGGGCGGCCTGCTCTTGCTGCTGCTGCAACTGATGATGTTGTTCTCCTCGCTGGCCGTCGACTGCCGTCGGCCGCCCTCCGCTAAGTGGGAAGAACAGGAAGACGGGGGGACCTTGTGGCGTAGCCGGTACCGGCTGGTGAAGGCAGGTCCTCTGTCGCACATGGATGCCGCCGCTCGTGACGTTCTCGGCCTCCTCCTCGGCGCACTCCCACCACTCATTATCCTCCTCACTTCCACGCGACTGACGGGCACCCATCTGGATGGATGGATGGATGGATGGATGGTGTCAGAGCAGAAAGATGCCCAGCTGTTGTTGTAGCCTCAAGGGGTGCAGCATAAAGAAGCCGGGTGGCGGAATTTACGCTGTTTTCTGATTTTTGAGCTCGCAAACGGTGGGGGCGGCCCCCCATCACCGACGACTCGGAAGCGCCATTAGCAAAGCGCCATTCAACGGTCCTTGGATACCGATTCTACCCCAAGCTTTGTTGAGCCACTCCCGGACCTTCACGTCGTTTGAAGAGCAGCCATGCAGCCGGGAACTCCCACTCCGATGCACACGCACCACCAGGCCATGGTGCTCCCCACCAGCAGCGACATGACAACCGACAAACTCAAAGACCAGCTGCACAACCTGCACGTCGAGAAGGGACTCCTCCATGAGCGTCTGCTCGAAGAGACCCGCCTCAAGATGGAAGCCGTCCGCGAGCGCGACCTCGCCCGCGCTGAGCTTGCCGTCCTTCAGAAGGAGAACGAGCGTCTGAAGCGCCTTGTGCCCCTCGAGAACTACTCCCCCACGCCGCGACACGACGGGCTGACGACCATCCTGGAGCACATGGACGGCAAATACGAGGGCACCGCTCGCAAAGGGGTCAGCTTAAGCAGAGAGCATCCCTCATTCGTTGTGGGAGGGATGCACTGTGTGAGTGGCTGCAGGTGCCTGAGGGCTGGGGCGTCCTGTCTGCGGGCATCACTTCCAATCCTGATGTGCCCCCCAATGCCAAGCGCTACGAGGGAGGTGCGAAAACAGAACCTCAATCCGACAGGAATGCAGAGACTTTGATTCCTCCTTGTGTTCCTCAGAGTGGCGCGAGGGTGTGTTCCACGGCAAGGGCATCAAGTACTACGAAGGAGACGGCGATTTGGTCAACAAGAAAGAGTACGAGGGCCAGTGGAGCAAGGGAATGCGCAACGGAGTCGGCATCGCCTATTTTCCGAACGGCAACCCTCACTTCAAGTGCCAGTGGAAGGACGACCAGATCGACGAGAGCGAGGAGGTCATCGAACACTTCCACAACGTGAGCGAGACACGGATTCCCGGATGCCGCTCCTTCCAATGCATCAGCCGGCTGTTTCCCTTGTCCTGTTCTCAATGCAGGGCAACGTCAAATACAAGGGAGGCTTTCTTGATGGGCTGAGACACGGACACGGCACCGAATACGGTTTCTCTGACTCGAGAAGACGTGAGAGAAATGCATGTGTGTCCTGTGTGTCTTTCTCCAGGTGATTACTACGGTCCTCGTCCAGAGCTGGGCGGCCGTACCTTCGCCCACCACAAGGCCTATGAAGGGGCATGGTCCAAGGGCAAGAAAGAGGGCCAGGGCACAATGTTCTACGAGGACGGATGCACTGTCTGGTGAGCAGCGAGATCACACCATCCTGCCGCCGCCAACATACATAAGTCCATCTTTCTCTTCTGTGCCCGCAGGTACCAGGGAGAGTGGGCGGACGGCCAACGTCATGGCTACGGCATCGAGTACGACCACGGGACGGGCGGCAAGAAGTTCGAGGGCGAGTGGCACGCCGGCAGCTTTGTGAGTGGCACATTCTGCCGCTACGACAACAAGGGCAAGCTGGTGGGCCAGGGGCAGTGGAAGAACGGCCAGCCTGTCTCGAGCTGATTTGATTGGAATAAAGGAGAGATGGATACGGCCATTGATGTGCGCACGCTGAAAGGCCTTCGTTGACAATTTTCTGGGTGTGGACATTTTTCGAAGTCTCATTAATGCATCAGGCATGCATCAGATACGTGTCTCTCCGATGAAAGGAGAACAGTCAGATATAAAGTGTAGGCAACGATAAAAGAAAAGATGCTGCTTATGCCCACACGCACGTTGCCCGCCATCGCAATACAGCCCGGTCTTCTCACGCACTGCCATCGACACGCACTCTTGTCTGTCGTTGCACGTACCCAAACAACACAAATACAAAGCGTCCCTCAAGGACAGCTGCACCTCATACGTGTGCCCCTTACAGTTTGACCAGACGGGACCGCTTGCTTAAGGCCACAGCTGGCCCCGTCTGGTCAAACTGGCCGATGTACGAGCCCCCACGGGAAAAATGCCTCTGTATCACGTGTGATCAATGCCTCTCTGTGTGTGGCCGTACCTACCCTGATGTGACACGCCATGGCGGCATACGTCAGCTGTAGGAGCGATTGCAAGTCCAAGCAATCAGCAGCCTGATGCATGCAGCAATGAAGGCATGACCGCAACCAGACGATGGATGGATGGGGTACCATATCGGTCACGTACCTTCATGACTTGGTACAGCTCTTGCCGATCGGCTGTGCCCAGCACCTCTCGCTCAAGCAGCAGCACCTGACATGACACGCCAACCAAGGAACCGACACACAGACACTCATCCTCACACACACAGACACTCACTCACACGCATCCGCCGTGTATGTGTGTCATAATGACTCACTTCTCCGATGTGGTCCGTCGACTGCAGTGGCGGCTTGATGACAGGGATCTCCCTGCCAGCATAGTGACCGCAGTACTTGTGAAATACCATGTTCAGCAGATGCGCATCGATGGGGAGAGTGATCTGACTCTCATCCGAAGCACCTGCACAGATGAAAGCAATGCGCTGCATACAATGCACCCACTCGCAAGCCCGTCAATGCATTGATTCTGCTCACCCTCCAGGATGCCTTTGACGACGTTTGACCTCCGGGCCGCCTCGAGAGGGATCTCCACCAGCTCTCCGTCTGCCGACTGCACTTTGATCATCACTCCGGACGCAACTATCCTCTGAAGACTTTCTGAACCAGAAGGACGCGGCAAAATGCGCGTGAGAGTGCTGTGCGTCTGGTGATGGTACCGATCCCTGCGATCAGCTCTCCCTTGGCAGCGCTGTTCTTGTTGATCTGCTCAGTGGTGCTCCGGTCCTCTCTTGCGCCTTCTCCTGTCTCTCCTTGTCAGCCTAATATGTAACGAAAAGCCACATACAACGCAGAGAGCACCCGGATTACAACGAGTGGCGCCTGTATCGCTTCTCACCATCGCCTTCAGTGCAGTATTCTCGGCCTGCAACCGTTCAGCCTGATGACAAACATGGCACGTGCGCAAGCAGCAAGCAAGCATGATCATGTTTTTGCCTTGAGACATCAGGCAGCCATTGTGTATTTGCCCTTCGCATCTCTGCCCTGAGTGCGGCCTTCCGTCGTTGATACTCCCACAGAGCAACGGCATCCTTTGTCGGCTCAAGCCTCACGGGATTTGTCGCGTCGTCACGAATGGCTTTGCGTGGCAGATAGACTCTCGCATCTGTCTCATGGCACTGGGCGAGGCAGGGAGCTCCTTTTGAACTTCTCCAGCAGCGTGTGTGTTGGTGTTGGCCTGAGAGGGAGCTGTCCTATCGTCAACGCCGATGGAATGGGTTGCGAGGGACTCAGTTGGTCGTAGCGACTGACCAGAATTCTTCCCATTGGTCTCCGTATCCCTCGGTGTCACGGATGCTGGTGGTGAGACGCCTTCTGCCCTCACGTCTGTCGACACGAATGGCTCCCCCAACGGCACTGACGTGCATGGATGCAGAGAATGGTACACACGAATTATGTGACCACTCTATTGGCTCAATTCTTCTTTTCCTCACTTACCGACATCAAGATTGCCTGACGCATGAGCTCTCCCATTGTTGCCGTCCAGTGATGTACACTAGACACTGACATCAGACAGTGATCTGTGCTGAAATACTCGTCGACAGCTCTCGGAAGCTCTCCTGCATCTGCTCGAGACTTATGCGATTGGCCGGGTTCGGGTGGCATGCGCGATGCACAAGGTTTGTCAGCCATGACATCACGGTCTTCACCCAGTATAGATACGCTGTAGCTTGGTAAGAGAATCATCTGGCCTGTGTGGGGGGGGCGGTGAGCATGCCGATCGCCTGATCAGTTGTATCCTTGAGCTGCAGTGCCGCTTTGACGTACAGCGCTGCAACAGTCTGCGTCTCCTCTGCTTCCTCCGCCTCCTTTGCCTCCCTCGCAAGTCTCGTCGTCTCCGTTTCTTCATCCGGCGGCGGCTGTACCTCCTTTAGAGGCTCGAGGCCCAGCAGAATCTCTTTGACGAGACAGCCGATGCCGTATACTAGTGTGTCCTCGCCCATCCACACGTAGTCGACGCCTCCCTCGGTGAACACTCTCTCATCTCTTCTCATCCGGTCCTTGTTGTCCTTCACCACCTGAATGAAGTCCTCCATCGCATCCTCGTCTCCGCTCAAACGCCCAAATAGTGCGGGACGGCAGGTGAGGTTGATAAGGTGTGCGACTGGCTGAATGAGGGGGCGGATTGCGAGGCAAGGGGCGTGTCGGAGGCTCGAATATGGTCCTGGATAAGAAGACGTCGCAGCAGATGAGAACAAGCATCAGCATGCATCGGTGGGAGTGGGTGATGTGCCACAGGCCCTTCACCGCCATCCGCACGAACATAAAGGCATCGTAGGCAGCACCAGGGGGACGGGCGGGGCACTTGGAGAAGGTCTGACCAGAAAAGGCACACAACACAAGTGGATAGAGGAGTGAGGATGAGGTCCCGAGCTGAGAGAGAGCTAGAGGACATCACGGGAGGGCGTTTTGATGACGCTCTCGTTCTTTTTCTTTGAACTCGCGGGGGCCGTCTCATCCTGGCCGTCTCGGCGAGAATTTCTCCATCGGGATAGCTTTAGCCGCGGCGTTCGTCCATCTTCGCATCGCTTCCCATCCGCAGCAAGAGCGATCAGTGTGCTTCAAGCTCGCCAATGAGTGATGACTGACGCGAGAGATGCAGGAGGCACGACGATGGTACGAAATGAATTGTCAATGCAACCGGGCCTGACGTTTTTGCTGTGGCTCGCCCAGTGGGCAAGAAGCGTCCGATCAGGGTTTGCT